TATATATAGTCCGTTCCCATCACACAGGTGTCTCATGCTGCAGTGATGGAATCAGTGTAAAACAGCAACACTATCACTGTGGGCTTAAATAAACTTTGTATAAGTTAAATCCTCCTAAAATCATGTGTTAAGTGTTGTTAACAATCTCTGTGTTTGTTAGATGCTCTGTTTTAAACCAGTGGAAAAAGAGCCCTGAAACAATTAAATAATTCTACTGACCTATATCAATATATGGGCGACTCTTCTTGACCTGAGACTTGGGACTTCTGCCCATGGATAATTCTTTCTTCGCTGATCTAAATGGTCAGAGGTTGGGTGTTGGCACGCTGTGATCTGATACTCTGAAGTTAGCCTGCTCCGTAGCAGTTTAGCTGTTCGGCATAAGTTACCATGGTGATTTATCCCGGTAAAAAGAGAACCAGCTTTGTTGTACTGAAAACTCAGAGTTAACCCTGAAGTTAGCTCGCTAATTCCAAATCCTGCTTCATAGTACAGGCTTCATGTGTGCTCTAGATTGGCTGGAACACAAACCTGTAGCCACATGCCCCTTTTTGGAGCAGTTTGATTATCAAAATAACCATTTGTTGCAACCCCGAAAGCAAGACCTGAAAAGAGGTCTATCAAGCAAATAAGTGAAAACACGTGTGCGTGAACCATGGGTGTAAGATTAGCTATTTTTATTTAGCATACAGTACACCATTACTCAATGTTCCACCAGGCTTCTAATTTAAAGCAACCACAGGTGTTAGAAGGTTGAAGCCCACCTTTGAACAAAAGCCACCTGCTACCTCTCAAAAAGTAGCACCACTTCACAGTGAGGAGTATGTGGGAACATATCCACAGGCACAGCCAGTGTTGGAGAAAATGCCTCTCCTGTGAGTTTCTTCTGCAAGTCAGGAGCACAACAAAGCTCCCTGAAGTTCCTCATAGCCTCCCCATCCGGTTTACAGGAGACATACACCAGTCTACGGATAGCCGGTTGGTTTCGTAGAGCTTGGACCACTCTGTGGTGCAGGCCAGCTCGAGAAGGGTTTACCACAGCTGCCACAGGGCCTCCACCTGCTGAGCTCAACTGCGACATAAGTCCAGGAAGCACTACCTCCGCCTTCCCTGGAATGAACTCACAGTTCTGCACATTATTGAGAGCTGCGTTGTGTCTTGCATCTTCAACTGCCTGTCCTAAGAGCTCTATCCCAATAATTCTGTCCACTCTGGGAGACGTAATAATGCCAATGGCACCCGTCCCACAGCACACATCCAGCAGTGTGCCACCAACTTTTGTTCTGCCTCCACCTTCCTCAGAGTCTGGCATGCACAGGTCTCTCACCGTGCTGTACAGCACCTCAGCTGCTGCCTGGTTCACCTGGAAGAAGGCATCTGCAGAGATACGGAATTTAAAGCCCAGCACCTGTGGATGGCAAAACAACAAAGGAACAGCAATTAAAAAAACAAATATAATGTGAACATACATGAATTGTGTGCTACCCTCTCTCCTCTGTTTGTTTTTTTAATATCACACCACCAAATTTACATACTGATGTCATGTTGAAATAGTTGAAAATAATTGTATAATAGTAAATATGTGTTGTGTAAATTGTATGAGTTTGAGTTTGGAGGCTAATAATCTGTACCAGACAGCCTGCATTACAGACGGTACATAGAGTTTTAGAGACATGGGCATGAACAAGGTGAGAAGGGTCTGGGTCTAATGGAAGATG